CACACACACACACACACACACACACACACACACACACACACACACACACACAGACGTACGGACATCATCGTAAAAATAGTCCGGGAAGTTTCCTGTGACCTTCAAACGTCGAGATCTGATGAAAACTCGATTTTTGTAAAACGGGGTGAAAACAATAACTTCCCGATTTTTGAAAATCTGAGGTTTTTAGCGGGAAGTTAAAAATACTGTTTAAAACCTGTTTAAAAATCTCAACTGACAAGAAAATTTTGCTTACTTTAGAAAATAAATTTCACAAGATCATATTGCAAAAGCTTATAAATATAAACGAGTTAGTGGTATTCCCTTGCGGTATTTAGCTGTTTTGATCGTCTCACCTTCTGCAGTAAACGTCATCTATTTTTAAAGTAATTATTATCTAAATTTGATAACATGAAAAACCTTTTTTGGATGATTAACTAGTTCACTAAATATATTTTTCACATCAATAAAAATAAATTACTTACATTGAATGCAAGTTATTGCTTGGTGAAATTATTTATAAACTGGTATTGAATTTATTGTGTTTATAGGTAGAATATTATTTCCACTTTACTCAGCTTTGAAGCATAAATTAAACGGTCTAAAAACATACTTTTAACGTAGCAGTCAATATTGAATTTTCGTTGCTCGGAAAACCGCAAGGGTGGGTGCTGCATTAAAAACACACACAAGAGGCAACACAAAATAAATAAAATCAAATGACGACTGGATTTACATCAGTGTGGATCACGTGCCGTTAGCGATTTTTTTAGCTTTATTATTATTGTACAATCGCTCATACAAGCTCCGTTTTTTATTTTTTTTTCATGTTATATTTACTGCGGATTTGATTATCAACAATTTTTTTTGTTTTTCACCGCACCGATTACTAGTATATGAATTTCTGTTATATACTATATCGCTATTTCAAAGCATTTACTAGAATTCCTATTTACGATTGACCCTTTGTCCTCGATTAACGCAATTTCGTTTTTATACAAATTCTAAATATAAGTCACTAATTATTTGAGAATTATGAAAAAATATCAAAAAAAAAATAAACAAGAACATTTTCAATATAAAATTTATATTTCGTTTAATAAAATTTATAGTGAGAGTTATCAATTGTTATAATTAATTGATTATGACGAAGAAAAAGGAATTATTTCAACTCGTACTGTAATTTTTGAAATTTCTATTGTAAATGTACACGGAAAGAAACTTATACTAAAAATTATAATATTATGGATATCGTAATCTTGGATCCGACTTAAAATATCTTAAGTTTTATTATTTTACATTTCGAAATTTACTAGTTACATACGAATTTTTACGATATAGTACCATAAAAATTTTTTTCTGTACCGTAAATTCATATGTAACTAGTAAATTTAAAAATGTAAAAGAATAGAACTTGAGATATTAGAAATCGGTTCCTGGATTATGATATTTATATATCATAATTCGATGTTAATTTTTTTAAATTTTGCAATGTTTTGTTGATTTAGTGTCAATTTCTTCAGGCAACCTGCAAAACAAAATATGAATTAATATACATGTCAAATTAATCAATCTCTTAGATGTAAATATACAGCCAATGATAGATGATATAAATCAACTAAACGTTGTAACATTTGAAAAATTAACATCGAAACTTTTTTGGTTTTGTGATAAAATTTGTTTAATATTACTAGATTGGATGAGAACAATAGTCAGAATTATGCTTTTTGTATCATTTATGTATTTAGATATGGGGCATTCCACGCCAAATCGACCACTTTTGACCCTGACCCCTTTTGATTTGGCTGAAAGTTTACCATCCTTTTCTACCCTATCAAAAACGTCTCAAATTTTTTTACCCAACCAAAAAAAAGTTCCGAATTTTTCAAAAAAACCGCTTTTTTATTTTTAAATTGCCATAACTTTTTCAAAAATTGGCTTATCGGGACGTTTTTTTTTTTCAAAATTATTGTTATTAAATGTTCTTTTTGGAAAAAAATATAAAAAAATTCTTTAAAGCTATCTTCATCGTTATTTTTAAAATTTTTAGAAAAAACTCCGAATTTTTTGATGAATACCATTTTTAGTTTCTTTTTTCTTTTTCTCATTCTAAACTTTGACATTTTTTACAGATATTATGAAATTTCCAGAAAGGTGTTTTTCCGATTTCTATTTTTTCTTTTCAATTAAAAAAAAAAATTTTTTTCTTTTGTCGTATTTTTCATAACACCGGTCCAAAAATTTACGGGAATCCTCAAAAAACAAGAAAAAAGTATAGAACCAAAAGTTGAACATGTTTAACATCGAGAAAATCAATTTTTTTTAAATCAAAGAAAAAATTGAAAAACAATTGTTTTTTTTATTTAATGCTTAATGAATGGTGGGCGTTGAAATGAACAATTCTCCGATACTCTAAGTTTTATAATTAAAACGGTTTTGTCAAATGGTTTAATACATGACTATAATGTCTGAAATGCAATAATTCTTAAACTAATAAAAACATTTTCCTCAGCTAAGCAAAAAAAGCGCCATTTGGCCATACCCGACATGGATAGGTAGATTTCTCGTTTGAATATTAAAAAAAAACACGTTATTAAAAGGCAATAATGTCCTAAAATGTATTTTTCATCATAATTTTGCAAATAACGATATGAGACCGACTACAATAAATAGATATTTAAAGACATCTACCTAAAAAAATAGGATTTGTAACAGATGAAAGTTTTTTGATAATAAAAGCTAAAAATTCATTTATTCTAGATTTTTTTTTAATTTTCCTAACTACGAAATAAATTGAAAAATGGATCAAAAAGCGACGAATAAAAGCTCAAATTAAAGATAATTATGTAAATTTTAACATAAATTTAATAGATTTAAGCTATCTTTTACGACCTAAAAATTATTTGAAAAGAAGGGCCGAAATACGTTCATTGAAACATTTTTGAAAATTTTCAAAGTCACGAAATTAATTAAAAAAATCATTAAAACTAGACAAATGATAGTTTATATTGAAGGTAATTAAATGAAGTTTAAGATAAATCTGATAGATTTTATCTATCTTCTGAATCTGGAAAATTATTTCCATAAAATCTACGAAATTCAAAAGTTTTTGAAAATGAAAAAAAATTTTAAACACCCACAACTCGTAAACTAACCGGCCGATTTGGCTCATCTTCGAACTTGATCTTGGTATTAATCCACAGAATAAGCTCACAAAATTTCATGACGATCGATTGAGAACTGTGGGCGCAATCCTGCGGACATGACGCGTTATATCTCATATATATATATAT